GGTTCCCTGTATATATTTTCGTCTCCCCCTTCTTTCTTTTTTACTGTTTTTTTTTTTTTTTTCACACTCGAGAATCGCAATATTTCACGTATTCTCGACACCACGCGCGCCCCGTAATAATTAAAATTATCGAATTTTCGGGATGGAGAGTTCAAGGGGATGTTAGTAATTGGTAGCCTATACAAGAGGAACCAAGTTCGTCCTTGGGGAGAATGGAAGAGCATGGGGATCGTTCCTGATGAATTTCGAAACTTTAGGTGTGTTTCTAATCAATCCAGTTCTGGCCGAACTCTATATATATATATATATATAACCAAAATCCATCCCTTGGCTTTTGTGTTCCTGCAGTTTCTCCTCCATATTTCAGATATCGGAATGATCTTTCATTAACTTGGACGTCTATATTCGTACAATCTCTCCATTTCTCTTTCGACGCTTCATCGGCTGTTTCCTAATGGATTTCATTTAACCGTATCGGGGAAGAGAGGGCAGCTCGCCTCACAGGCGAGAATAGGCGCTGGCGGGAGAAGAAGGAAGCTATCCGAAGCTCGAGGAAATTGTAGGCGACGCAGAGGCGTGAAACAAAAGAGAATTGGAATAAAGGGGTTCCTTCCTTCCCCGTTGCGTAAGGAAGACGCGGGCAACGTGGGGAGACGTTTCGTTGAAGCAATGGCGGCGATCACCTTCTTTCTCGCCTCGATCCTCCTCGCTCCGTTTCTTCGGAAAGCTGCGCTCCGAGTTGGACGAACCGAACCAACTCGGTGAATAGGTCGTTTAAGCCGAGCTTTTAACTCGAGCTAATTAACTGCCTTTTCTGTGTTTCTATCTGGTTCCGACGCGTGCATCCGGCTATCTCTTTTCTTCTTCCTTTCCGTTCGTTTCCATTCGCTCTTTCACAGCTAACCTGCTCGTCGTATTACACGTCACGCGTGCATTGCAACGCCTACGATGCATCTATATTATTCTATATTATTATTATATTCGACGATTTTCTCAGTGGAAAAAGAAAATTTTCGAGGAACAAGTTCTCGAAATATTTCTGGCCGAGAAGATATAAATATGAATCGAATAAATCGAGAAGAGGAAGAGGAAGAAAAAAAATGAAAGGCGCGAACGAAGTCGTCCGAATCGAGATCGATGCGAATCAGCTTTGGAATCGTATTAAAGAATGATTTGACCGCGCAATTTATCCGAACGTATACATACGCGTGCACGTGTAACCAGAAGCACGAACCGGTTAAATCCGAGAGCTCGTACCTCGGTGTAGCGACCCTTGCCGACAAGCGCATCGGATTTTGAAGTTTACTCGCCGCTACACAGTTTCTCGTAAGCTTCTCGAAACTACAAATTTTGCATATCAATGCGCATGGATACATCCCCGTGCCTGCCGACTCGATAAACGACTTTCTACCACTACCACTCCACACCGATATCCTTTTACCCTTCCATCCACCCGCTGGATTCTCGATTCCTTCTCTTCCCGGTCGGTAATATCGTTGCCTTCCTGCTATTCTCGAATATATACCATATATTCCCTGTCTCCTTTTCGAGCAAGTTTTATATACAATATATATGAATAACGCTACACATAGAAAATTGAATCGAGCCACGGTCGATCGAAAAATAATCTCGTAAATCTCTTATTAAAAAATTTCCTCGAATACAAAGTATCCATTAATAGGAAAAAAAGAAAAAAGAAACTTAATCAGGAGACGATCACGCAGACGATTTATCAACTTTCAAAGTTGTTCATGGACCCCTTCACGAGGAGTATAAATCCCGTCGATTTATCTCGGCGTATATATATATACACACATAGTGGCGCAAAACCAAATCCAACCCCCATCCACACAGCCCTGTTTGTACAAGCAGGGATATTGTTTTGCCGCTATCGCGGCCACCGTGGAACGGTACACACCGTTATCAGCAAGGGTTAGCATAGCGGAGGCATTATTTCCGTCCGGTCAAGTGACCTCCCACGCTTTGGTTATCGGCCACCAACCGATCCGGATCTCCTCAACCGTCTCCGTACCGCTCTTCCCCGGAGAATCATCCATGCATGGACGATCCCTTTATAGGAACGGGATGGCAACGTGCAACGACCCGAACCGCCGTTTTCTCCGACGATGGTTAGATAACTCGGATGGATGGGACAAAGG